AAAAGGTTGACATGTAAGCTTTCAGCCATTACTATCTCAAGGGAAAATAACCACTACACTTGCTCAGACCACAAACTATTAATTTCAAAGGAAAACGAGTATATCGACCCTTACACGACTGCTATTTAGGGGATTATTAATTTTCCGTGGTAAATAGCCTTAAGAATTTGCCACGTAGTAGACATGTCGTATCTTGCCACTCTTGAACATTATATGCAGAACATTATAGTATACTCACCTCTAGAGCAGAGCTTTACTGTATGTTTTTTTTTCTTTGCTGAAAATGTATTGCTAAGAGAAATGTTAAAAATGATAATACCAAAATGATATGTCGAAAATGATATGTTTAAAATGATAATACCAAAATGATAATACCAAAATGATATGTTTAAAATGATATGAATAAAATGATAATACCAAAATGATATGTAAACGTGTAATTAGTGAGGAAATGACAAAACACATTTGTTTTATCACAATTTACTAAAGCAATATGACAAAGTTGACAGTATCATAATAAGTATTAGAAAATTTAACAGAGCATCTTATTTTGACCCAAAAAAACTTCCATACCTAGGTTGTTTCTTGTCGATCTTACGACTAGCGAAATCTGAAAGCAAATGATAGCATCTCCGAGAATAGGACCATTCGCTTAACTTAGTCCACCTGAAAAATTGCAGTTTTCGCCAATAGTTGTTAGTTGCTCATGGTGTACTTTTGAAAAAATTTAACCTTGAAAACTTTCCAATATCTCGCATGAAAGTCTGCCATTTGCTTCATTGAATATAATCTTGACCTATATAGTGTAGCTCTCGCTCTCATTACCACCATTACTAGAAATCATTATATTCTCAAAATGAAATGAAATAAATGGACTTTTACGTCCTACTGCATCTTATGTGTTAAAGAAGACGGGAAACGCCATGCAGTGTGCTATGAGGCAAAATCAACCTATATGTGTCTGATTTATATTAAGTGTTACGTGTATAATTGTTTGTCTTTCGCATCGTTAACGAGTGTATATTACGTTGTTTCTTGACGGCGATCAAAGAAAAGTGACAGTTTACCTGAATACATACTTTGCACATAATATATACATGTATATATGTTACAGTCAATCTGTGAAATCAGTCATTTCATGAAATGCCTGAAATTTTTAGCCTTTTCATGAAATGGCTGAAATCAAAATTCTTAGGGAAGGGCATGAGAATCAAGTGGGTTAATATATAAGAAGACTAATTTTAACAACATTTTTTTTATAGTTTTGTACATTATTTAAACAACAACAAAAATAATAGCACATTTTTGAAGAGCATATAATAATGTTCATGGAGTCATTTATTCTTACATGTAAGACTGCTGTGGCAGCTACTATTGCACAATTTTCCAGCGTTAAAAAACTTGCATCTGTTGGTTTGACACTGTTTTTTTCCATTCTCATGCCCTTCCCTAAGAATTTTGATTTTAGCCATTTCATGAATTGGCTGGAGCAATATTTTAGCCATATCCTGAACAGCCTAAAATATTTAGCCATTTCATGAAATGGCTGAGTGAATTGGTCATTTCATAAAACGGCTAAAAATTTCAGGCATTTCATGAAATGGCGATTTCACAGATG